TCATATGTGCTAACTCGGATGTCATGTTCGCCCGGTGTACCATTGGTTGAGCTTCCTGAACGGTGATTGGATGACATGAAACTGTACCTAGTCGTGCATGGATTGCGGTCACGTAAGTCTGGATCACCACAACTCTCTTCCTTCAAGAGTGCCTCGTCAATGTGGCTTGCCTGACGGCTAGACCTGTAGACTGCAATCGTTGTCTCCGCCTGTTCCTGGCGTTGTCCTAGTGTTTCGATTGGTTGTTTCTGCACATCCAACTGATGCGGCTCCGTCGGTTGTGCTGATGGGGTATGCAACTGACTGTCGCCCTCGCTTGTCTCTTGATGCCGCTGGTCCGTGGATGGTTTGAAGTGGATTTGGTCCACGTGTCGCTTGTGCACAGTAGCACCATTCAATTAGGTAATTTCCACCATGGCTTGACCCAGTTGTCGTGTGACTATACCAGACGCGGGTCGCAAATCATTACCACGGAAGTATACGACGTCACTGGAGTCGAGGCACTGTAGGGAGGATCGCAAGCGTTTGGATTTAAAAAGCATTGCCGGGCTCTCCTTGGTGGTTGTATGTGTTGCGTTTCGGTATTGGAGTAGGAAGTTATCCACCAACGTTTCCAACTCGTGTAGCGTTTTAGGATTGGCAGACGCAGTTGCACTCTTGACAGTTTTGACTAGATTCTCTGCCGCTCCGTTCGAACAGGGGTGACGAGACGCAGTTCAAAGATGTCGGCAACCGATTCTGTCCATCCAAAGCTTCATTTCGGTCGCACAGAACTGAGATCCATTGTCCGTCACAAGCACTTGTGGAATCCCTTCGCGACTAAAACATTTCCGTAGTACTTGTATCACAAATGTTGTGGTACGCGTAGTCGCAAAGAATGCCTCTGGCCATTTGGAGTATGAATCGATCAGAACAAGGGCGTAGTACCGGTTCATAAGTGAACCACAGAAATCCAAATGAACCCTTTGCCATGGTATATAATTTTCCGGCAATGGTGTCCAGTTTTTCGGTCTTGTTCGTAATTTATGTAAACATGACTCACAGTTCTTGGCTGTTGCGTAAATGTCTGTGTCCAACTCCGGCCACCAACACATCTGTCGAGCCAATGATTTCATCTTCTCCACCCCCATCTATCCTTTATGTAATTCTTCTATTACAGTCTTCCGTAGTGGCGGTGGGATTACCAATCGATCGTCGCGACACAATACACCATCCAATTGTACTGACAACTCCTCTCGATGAGCAAAGAATTGAGGATACTTTCTCTTTACCTCTGGTGACCAGCCTTTCTTGATCGCTGAGAGTATAGCCGAGTAGTACTGTTTGGTAGATTTGCGTAAACATTCCCGAGACACTGGTGATGCTGGAGAGATGAAATGACACTGTTCGGCCTCAGAAAATCGTGAGTAGCGAGAGAGGAAATCAGCCTGCTGGATTGTCTTTCCTGGACGATGTTGGATATCATAGTTATATGCGGCTAGAGCGATACTCCACCTCTGTAGCATAGCAGCAGTGGAATTCGCGATGGATTTGTTGGGGTTGAACAAGAACTGTAGCGCTTGGTGATCAGTGATGATAGTAAACCACAATCCGAAAAGGTACTTGTGCAATCGTCGACCAGCCCAAAATACAGCCAACGCTTCTTTTTGAGTCTGTGAGTATGCCTTTTCTGCCGCATTGAGTAGACGTGAAATGCAGATCACTGGGCAATTGACATAAGAGTCACGTAACTCGTTAGGTTCCCGGATCGCCCAGAGCGAGAGGAAGAACAAAGACCGTCTGACCGTCAGATCCGTGTATGTTCGAATGAATTCGTCAAGCCCTAAACCACATGACAAGAGCGACAATCATATCATAAAAGGTCAAGGTCAATGACACTGTTTTTTCACCTGCTGACCATTGGCACCGCTGACATAACTGTTATCATTTGAGCCCTGAGTAGACGATAGAAACGGTTCGTTGGTAACACAGGAAATCAACCATATTTATATATAGAACTGTCTCCCTCTCTCAAATTTGATAACAGAACAGGATTTACCCCTTGAGCTATGCTCATTATCAGACAATCTGACAAGTAATTCTTCCATACTGCTCTATAGCTCTAATAAGGCTATCTTCCACGCCTTTGATACACTCGCCCTACACGCACACACACACACACAGGAGCTTATCCCATAGATGTTCGACTAGATCGAGATCGGGTGGTGGAAATCTGGTCACGAAGCCTGTTTGTGTCTTGGTGCACACGAAGCGAGCATGCAATACAACGGGACGACGCACACAGACGTGTTATCGTCATGGAAAATCACTTTAATAGTTGTCCACTAAAGTTTGGGATCATGATTTTCATGTATCATTACCTGCTGACTGTCCCCGCAAATAGATAACAGCTTTTTCCGACATTTCCAACATTCGGATTCTCAAATTTACATTGAACGTCTATTTCTGCTACCAAGTCAGTCCTCTTCGCTTCAGAAATACTTTTTTCTCAGAAACGCCTTTGGTGATGGTGTTCAAATAAAAAATCTGAGGATACATAACCGGTCCATTGTTCTCCCTTTTGCACACACAGGCCACAACTTCTTATTCCAAAAATAAATATCAATCAGATTAGCACTGCATCTGTAGTGTTGAAAGCTTCGATTACCGCGTTTCTCATTATTTGAATCAAAGAGCTAACGACATCTAAAATCTAGTTACTTCGTCACAACCAGGGCTCATCTTGAAAACCCGTATGAGGCGGAGCTTTTCCGAATGACGTACCTCACCAAATACGTCAAAGAAAACATTGACCACAGCGATTTGATGAACATCAATCCTCCGTCTGGAAGATCAGAAAGAACGCGGGATTGGAGAAAATCCTTTCAAGTTTTACATTCAATTCGAACATTCTTTTACGCAATTCTGATGACACTACACGAAAAATGACAACTGAGTAGAGAGGAATAATCCCGATGGACGAAAACCTCTCCGCGCAAATTTAGTGTCGAAATGATTCCTATGGTTGAACCGATAGAAAAATCACACTGGTACTATGCAGAATGTTCATATTCGGGTATTCAGGTTAAGGAAAACAGAGTAGCAAGGCTTTATACGCTGTTTACCAAGGACTTCATCTCAACTTACTGCACCGTTAAAATGACTGTATCACACTCACCAGGTGCTACGTCGAGAACCTTGCGAAGTTTACAAGCGCAGTACACGATTGTAGATGACGGAGGAGTCCTAAGTGTCAGAACAGACCCCTTGTCTCGAAATTAATCCGACAACTATCGTCAATGTTGATAGTTTTTTCAGTTCAAACCTGCGATAGTAAAGCAATCTAAATATCGAATGTAATCCAAAACCAAACGCTATATATATATATATATATATCGCGAATTAATTCTAACGTTAGCTTGCAAAGCGCACACCGTCGCGCGTCTACGATTCGTTCAGAATATAGCCGAAACCCGCTCGTGGTTTAAATGCGGCTTAGCAGTGTGGATCAGCATCACAACGCAACGGACATCGTATGTTCAAATGCCACCGCACGAAATTCGCATAGGACATACACGATATCGAACGGTGGCAAGGTCGGTAGCCTATCATCAGAGTTAGGTGATAGTGGCAAGTTTCGAAACTCGAACCTTAGTCCGGAGGACAATCAATCTCCTGCTGTATCGCACCCCTCGGGAATTCGAAGTGAATAAATTCCAGGAACTTCGACATAGCATGTTAGTGAGTACTAGATGCTATTAAGTAGTTTGAAGGATCCGTTGGGAGCTTTGTGACAAAATAAGCCGGATCGACGAGAAGTAAGTCAATTTCGTTACTCGTTCCCAATATTTATAATTATGTGCTGTTTATTTATAACGGAATTTCAACACCCCGTCCAGCGCATCTTTTATGTATGGAAGAATTTGAAATTTGCTATGATGCCCTCAGCCTAGTGTTAGTACATTGCATCCGGTATTCACCTCCTTTTCAGTTTCAAGCATCTAGTTATCCCGAACCTACTTACCTCTCTTCATGGTAATTTTTAAAATCAAATTACCGCATATTTATTCCCGATATTTCTCCATTCCTTTGCAATGTTAGGCTAACCACGGAATTGAGTATATGGCGTCCGCTATAATATACGACTCTTTTAGCTATAATAATCGCAACATCAAAATTAACCCATTCGATGAAAACACGAATGAACCAGGCTGAACACAGTGAGAACAAGGGACAAGTAACCGCATTCCGAGGAAATCACATCATCTACAATAAGTGAAGCATCTGTTTTGGAGTATCCTAAGTATTTTGATTTCCCTATATTCCCAACTGATTTTTCGCTGTGCAATCATTTTCTACTGAAAACCTTGTTATTAGCGCTTATAAACATTTATTCGTCCGTTCGCTTTTGTTGTGACCAGTGTATGTTCCAACCGACCGATACATTCGTTACGGCTGGTGTTGGTAAACATAAGTGACGAATTAAGTTCAACACGTGATGCCATAACGTGATCGAAAAATGAAAAGTCTTTTTACTTCCTTTTTCTATTTATTGAATATGCAAATGTACAGTCAAATTTCAGGAAGGGGGCTACTGCCATACAAAGGTTGCCTGAATCCCAAATTAGAAGTGCATCCTCCGAACAGTCAGAGGCGCGTTAGACCCGAGTTACGATAACCTGTCTGACTTCATCGGTGCTCTAGGAAGGACAAGTGCGATTAGCATCATTCACACAGGTGCGTCCGCGAGACGGTGGTTATCGACTGCTTGGATCTGATATCTCACTCCACACACCCGCTCACAAGTCAATCACGATTATTGTTCACCCGTTTGCACGCTAGTGCGACAGAGCCCACCAGTAGACCGCAGGGCGGGGCTTTGGTGACCACTGCAGCAAAAACGATCACATTCGAGTGCCTCATAGAATTGCAAAAAACCTTAAAGCTGACAAAGAAGGGGTTTTAGCAATTATAAGTCGTCGTCAGCTTGGTTCTCCTTTGGAAATCAACAAACGCGTTGTTTAAATCAACTGTGCACTCCAATAATGGACCCGAAATTCGAGCATTAGCCAAGGCAAACAACTTCGATTGGTCCAGTGCTTTTGCGATTGAAGCGCATTAAATGCTCCATATTCATCTTCTTCTTTGCGACGCTTAGCTGGGTTCGAAAAGAGTTCGTCTGATAACTAAAGAAGAGAATTGATGCAAAAAATTTAAATAACCTAATTCTTCATCATGAAATTCTAAACAGGCGACTTCTCCAGACAGACATTCATCAATGAACACATAGTGAGCAAAGTCTTCGATCAGATCGCGGCTATTCTCTGGTGTCTGTATCATTGGTTGGTTCAATGTTGATTTGAAACCAACTTTTATGAAAGCGTTGATCAGTACGTGCGGATGCACAGATGTCCAAGCTTTCTTGACCAGATGCAGGCACTTGAGGATGACCATTTCGGATTTCATGCTAAGTTGCTCATCTTCAATCAAAGACGAAACATATTCCAGTAAATGTTTCTGAGCCGAACATTTGAAAGACTAAATCACGCCCTGACCCATTGGTGGATTATTGGATCCAGAAATGTCAATGTTCATTCTGGGAGCTACCTGTAATACAGAGCTGTTTCATTTTCACTGAAAATATCTGTCAGCATATCCATGGATCAACTACGGTAACCCCGCTCGAAACTCGCCCACTGCATCAAGTAGCACCGCCAAACTTTCCCTGCAAACCTAAAAAGTAATTCACATGAGTAGCCGCTTGTCCCTTACTTTGTAGGATTGAATAACCGCTTATTTCTGACCAAGAGTGAAAACAAACTCTGGAAGCCTTGAAGATATGATGAACTCTTTGTGCTAGCTTACAAACGATGCTCTCCATCATGATAAACTCGCTGTGCTTTCCCCTCATAGCAGCAAACCAAGTTTTCGCCTCATCCACTGATTTGTTGGTTTTCAGGAAGCATCCTTCCTGAGATGCTCCGCGTTCACAAATTCTCCGGTAGTCGTACGATGGGGTATAACATTGTAAACAGTTTTTTTCTTGAAATACCAAGCTTTTTTATTACACACCTAAGTGTGACGAACAGCAGACGGGGCGAAACCCACAGCCACGAGGACCTGCTGTTGTGATGGAAACCGGCAACCTAAGCCCCGAGACTTGGAGTGGCGAACCACATAGGGCCTCCATAGGTTAGGCGTGGTATTGAACCGGACGACCACCAAAGTGATTTGGTTACAGAGCTTGGAGCTGCACCTGACTGATTCAGCATTTCCAACACATTCTGCTTCTCTTTCATCGATAGGCGCTTGCACACTGAAGTCAAGTGACACTGCCTTCGATTGTCGGTATCGATGTCATCCTCGCAAGGATTATCCAATCAGTGAACAGTGTCATATTCAAGTCACACAGGTGATAAGCCATTGGCTAAGTGCGGCATTGCAGGTTGGCTGGTCAATGGCCGTCTCGAACATCGGTCAACGACCCAGTGAGTAGGTATCAGGAACTGCTACTTATTGAGGGGGGGGGCGACATTGCATGGTCAGAAACTACGTTATTATTCATACGCTTGGTTTGTGTTTTCTAGAAAGTAGGAGGATATGGGAAAATGCGACTTATCAGGGGTGCGAAATAGCAGGAGATTGACTGTATGCCAGTGACAGAATTGAGTCAATTGCTCCCCCACCCTAACGTCTATCAGCACTTTGATGGTTCATTACCTCATGAAAGTTAGCTGAATAGCTGACAATTCAAAAAAACAAAACTAAAGCAACATATATATATATATATATATATATATATATACGGTAAACCGTAATGAATTACAGATTATTGCACTTCAAACGATGATGAAAGCACGTGGTAACAGGACAGATGATGTACAAATGATTTAGGCTTCTTTTCAAATTAGTCACGAGAGGGCGGGCCTATGATCAGGACGTGTTCGGTTGTCGGAAAACTGTCTCGGGAGTGGAGTGTGTCAATGCGAGTCGAAGACAACCGTCCAAGATGAGAGCCTCTCGTTCCATCCTCGCGGCCCAATTCTCCACATCACCAAGTTCCTTCAGCGACTTGTTGAATTCACCTACAACTTTGCTCCACGCGTCTACCTGTTCACGAAAAACGTTCAGTTTTGCATAGAGTTCCTTTAGTTCAGCATTCAGACGCCGTTGATTGCTATAAGCCTGAAAAGGTAAGACGGAGAGAAATAAACCATCCGTACGGAATAAGTAATTACCCCGTACATAGCTGAGAGATGCTGAACACAAATACAATGAAAAGCAGTTACTGCCCAGGATTCTAGCTTTCACCTTGTTTATCTGAAACCGGAGGTACACTGAACGCTTGACACTTGAGGTATGACTGCCCCAACAACCCTTACGATGTGCTCTCAGTTTAAAAATTGAAAATACCAACATCAGTCATGAAGCTACTTGAAACACATCAAATAAAGCTTACATGATTAGTGTTCTCAAAAGTAAAAATGCCAAGGGACTTGTAGTGTTGAACCACAGGATGCCCAACTAGGTTAGGCGTGGTACTGAGCAGGACGACAGCAAAGCCGCTCACAAGGATGTACACAAACAAAAAGATCTACTAGTGCCACTGTTAACAACAATCAGCCACATCACCAATTATCTCAAAATATTAATCAAGCTAACCTCGAACTCTCCCACTGGGAAGCCTAGCATTAGCAACAAGGCCAAGTCACCTGGTCAAGGACTATATAGTTTCAGACGAAGCTCGCTGATAACCCTTGGTCATCTTTCACTGAATGCTTACATTGGAAAACATCCTACATCAAGAAATTCTATGATGACCTGGAACTAAGTCCCGGTCATCGCAGTGAACGCAGAAAAGGCACTGCAATGTGTGTATCGAATGTGGCAACAAATCCATTATTACTAACGCTCAAGACGTCCCTTATTGAAAATTGATTGGATACTTCGCTGACACTCACACGAGAAGAAAACGTGAAAGATATTCAAACACGGATTAAAACCTGCTCTTCAGCAGTGCACTAAACACGAAAATTAGCCCGTTTGAGGACACGGTGCCGTGAAACACACGAAATGAATGAACTCACTTTAGCAACATTATCATCAATTCGATAAAGCATAGTGGTCACCAGATCGTCCACTGCCTTTAGCATAGCTTGTCTTTTGTAACCGATTAAAATCTTCTGGCGATTCTGAGCTGCGATGTATTCTTTGTGAATGGCTGAATACATACTGAGTTGTTTTGCAAAGATCTGAAGAAAGGAAGTGGTTACCTTTAAAGTATAGTCACTTATGATCTGTATACCATGAGTGATCATATTTGTTTGACGTATGTCCATTTTATCTCTTTCCACATCATTTATTTGAGTATAACAATGTACACAACCAGCAGGAAGGGGGTGGGCTGCAGCCAGTAATGGGGTTTACTTCATATGCCGTTTACAACACAAATATGTATTAATGAAATCAGATTATTGTACCATGACCGTTTGGCACTCAATCTAAACGCAGACGTGCGTGAAATACATACCCACATACATGACCTCAGCTAGTGGCTAGACAATAATTGGGTGGATCTCATCTGGAACCGCCAACTTGTGTTTGTACAAGGGTCTGAGCAATGTGAGTACCTCATCGTTCGTTGCAGTTAGCATTTGAAGCTAGTTTTCCATGGTTCCCGGGTGACCCGCATGGAGCCTGGGATCAAACGCCGATCAGCGTTTCTATCCTGTTCACACTTGTACTAGGTATGTTACCATCTACCATATTCCAGGTTATGATACTCATGTGTGGTTCCCTTGGATTGCGTGTATTCAAAAACCCTCTTCGGGTTGGCTTTGACGTTTCTAGTGAATCCCTTCTCATAGTCGAACTCAAGCTCCTACTGCATCAACTGTGGTTTATTTCTAGCCAA